TTTCTTTTAGGTTTTAAATTTAGTAGCATATAGGTTTTAAAATATTCCCTTATAATGTTCTGTATCTTTCTGGTGTCTGTTGTGATGTTTACCCTTTCATCTCTGATTTTGTTGATTTGGAGGTGCTCTTTCTTTCTTTTGGTTAACTGGGCTAGTGGTCTGTCAATCTTGTTTATCTTTTCAAAGAACCAGCTCTTGGATTCATTGATTCTTTGTACTGTTTTCTTTGTTTCAATTTCATTAATTTCTGCCCGATTTTTGTTATTTCTTCTTGTCTGCTGGGTTTGGGTTTCATTTGTTGTTGCTTTTCAAGTGTCTTGAGTTGCAAGAAGTTTTGTGTTCTTTCCGATTTTTTGATGTAGGCACTTAGAGCTATAAGCGTCTCTTGAAGGACTGCTTTCAGTGTGTCCCAGAAGTTTTGTTGTGTTGTATTGTCCTTTTCATTTAGTTCCAGGAATATTTTTATTTCTTTCTTAATTTCTCTTTTGACTCATTCATCATTCATTAGTGTGTTGTTTAATCTCCATGTGTTCATGTAGTGACTAGGGCTTCTTCCGGTATAGATTTTAAGTTTTATTGCATTGTGGTCTGATAGAATGCATGGAATTATTTCAATCATTTTGTATTTGTTGAGGTTTGTTTTGTGCCCCAGTATATGGTTGATTTTGGAGAAGGTTCCTGGGGGTGCTGAGTAGAAAGTATGTCCTATGTTGCATGGGTGGAATACTCAGTAGATGTCTGTTAGGTCCATTTGATATATGGTATTGCTTAATTCAGATGTCTCTCTACTACCTCTCTGCCCTGTTGACCTATCTAATGGAGACAGTGGGGTATTGAAGTCCCCTACTATTAATGAGTTGGGATTAATCTGGGTCTTAAAGTCCTGTAATATTGTTTTTATGAAGTTGGGTACACCAGAGTTTGGTGAATATATGTTCATGACTGTGATAGCCTCTTGGTTTATTGTTTCTTTGATCAGAATGAAGTGGCCCTCTTTATCTCTTCTGATTAGTTTTAGTTTAAAGTCTATTTTGTCAGATATTAGAATTGCAATGCCTGCTTTTTTCTCAGTACCACTCACTTGGTATATTTTTTTCCATTCTTTTACCTTAAGATAGTGCCTGTCCTTGAAAGTGAGATGAGTTTCTTGCAGACAACAAAGAGATGGGTTTTGTTTCTTAATCCATTCACCTAGTACATGTCTTTTGACTGGGGAGTTCAGTCCATTAGTATTGAAAGTTACTAATGAAAGATGGGTGGTATTGAATCCTGTCATTTTTATTTCTGTTACTATTCTTGATATAGCTGTACTTTTCCACAGTTATACCTTCATTGAATTTCTTTCCGCAACCCCTTGGGTATAGCTGTTCCTTTCTTCAGCTCTTTGTATTGCTTCCAGAACTCTCTGAAGGGCTGGTTTTATGGACATGAATTCCTTCAGTGTATTTATGTCATGGAAGATTTTTCTTACCCCTTCACTATAGTAGACATTTTGGCTGGATATAGTAATCTGGGTTGGCCTCTGCGGCCATTTAAAACTGGGATTACTTTTGTCCGGGCTCTTCTGGCTTTCATAGTTTGCACTGAAAAGTCAGTTGTAATCCTAATGGGTTTTCCTTTATATGTGACTTGTTGTTTCTCTTTTGCAGCTTTCAGAATTTTCTCTTTGTTTTGTGCATGTAGTGTTTTTACTATGATGTGCCGTGGAGAGTTCCTGTTCTGGTCCTGTCTGTTTGGTGTTCTATATGCTTCTTGTATTTGTATGGGCATGTCTTTCTTTAATTTTGGGAAATTTTCTTCCACAATTCTGTTGAAGATCTGGTCCATGCCATTATCTTGGGATTCTTCTCCTTCTTGTATGCCTATGATTCCTAAGTTTGGTCTTTTTATGTTGTCACACAATTCCTGTATTTCTTAAATTTTCTTAAATTTCTTAAATTTCTTAAATTTTTCATAATCTTTGCTTGAGTGGTCTAGTTCATCCACTTTATCTTCCAGTCTTGATATCCTGTTTTCCATTTCATTCATCCTATTGGTGAGGCTTTCTCTTGTTGTTTCTAATTGGCTTACTGAGTGTTTTACTTCCTTCTTCATTTCAGCCTGAGTAGTCTTCAGTATTTCTAGCTCTTTCCTGAATTCATTCAGAAGTTTATCCTTCTCTTCCTTCATCTTTGATTTCTTTGTTTGTGTGTTCTTTAAATTCACTGAATTCTTTCATCATGTTTATAATTGTTCTTTTGCAGCCCAGGGAAGCAGAGGGAGGTTCAGGTGGGACCAGGCCCAGAGGGCTCCCGGGAACCTAGAGAAAGAACTGGGTTAGTCTGGATGAAGGGATCAGGAAGCAATGGTTGCCCTGGGGCTGAGAGGTCAGCCCCGGTGTCCAGGAAAGAGGCTGGTGGTCCAGCCGTGCAGCCCAGGGAAGCAGAGGGAGGTGGCGAGACCAGGCCCAGAGGGCTCCTCGGACCAGAGAAGGAACTGGGTTGGTCTGGATGTAAAGGATCAGGAAGCAGTGGTGGTTCCCCGGTGTCTGGGGTACCAAGACAAGGAATGGGACAGTACCCAGGCTAGGAGGAGAGAAAGGGCAATGGGAACGTGAATGAAGCTGGGGGAGTCAAGGCACGGAGGGTGTGATCGACTTACCCAGGAGAGAGGCCAGCAGGTTGTACAGGCCCAGGGAAGCAGAGGGAGATGAGGGCGGGACCAGGGCCAGAGGGCTCCCAGGGACTTCGAGAAGGAACTGGGTCAGTGTGGATGCAAAGGATCAGGAAGCAGTGATGGCCCCCGGCTGGATTTAGATTTTTTTTAAAAGCCTAGAAATTACTGTTGGTAGGGCCAACGGTATCACCTTAAAGCATATTTTCAAATGCTTGTCTTGAGGAAAGGACTTTTCTTGACATAAACATTCCTGTTATACAAAGTTGCAACCAGGGCTGGAGAGATGGCTTAGTGCTTAAGAGCACTGACTGGTCTTACAGAAGACCAGGGTTCTGACCTCCGAGGCATTTCCTGACATGGGTGCACTCACATATATGCAGGCAATACGCTCATACACCAAATAAAAATAATAAATAAAATACATTAAGAAAAAAGAAAGTTGCAACCTAGATGTTTAAGTTAAATGCATTCACTTTAATTGAAGAATGTAAAGCTATACATCTATAAGTAATTAAAAATAATTGGAAAAAGTGATCAGCTGTACAAAAATGAGGAGGAAAAGAAAGAAGTCATAATTCTATTTTTCCCAACGCTAGCATGTGTGTGCAGATCAAGATTCTAGACATGTCCGAGGAAAAACAGCAAGCGTTTATCCAGACCTTGAGAGTTCTAAATTGAGTTTTGGATGGAAGAAGCTGTATAAACCTGCTCTGAAGGGGATTTTAATGCTACCCATGTTCTGTCTTCACCCCTAACTAACACTGCCTTCAGTAGTCTCATCCTTACACAGAAAACACTTTCACAAAGCTTATTTGCCAAAGTGCAAACATCATGCTCTTACCGAGTAGTTGAACATTTCACTTGGTTTTCAAAGGTTCAGTTCTGTTTTGTGTCAAGGAAAAATAAATAAATAAACAAATTTGGGTTATAGTGGTAAAATTGTATTTTTATTTGCATGCTGACTTAGGATCTGAGCTACAACATTATATTTTCTTATTTATGTCATTAAGAATATATCTTTAACTTGCAATAGTGTATTTACAGAACTAATTTTTAAAAATTAGCTTTAGGGGTTGGAGAGATGGCTCATCAGTTAAGAGCACTGGCTGTTCTTGCAGAGGACCTGGGTTCAATTTCCTGCACCCACATGGTGGGTAACAACTGTCCGTAGCTCCAGTTCCATCGGAATCCAATGCCATTTTCTGATATCCACGGGCATTGCTTGACAAAGGTGCATCGACCTACATGCAGGCAATACACTAATACACATAAAATTTAAAAAAATAATTTTTTAAAAGGATTAAAAACAATCCAGGTGCCAGCCTGTAATCCCAGCACTTTGGATGTTGAAGGCAGGAGGATCAGAAATTCAAGGTTATCCTCAGCTACAAAAGAGGCCAGCCTGGGCTACAGGAGATTGTCTTAAATACACACACAAACATGCACTAACCCTTCCCCCAAATAACTTATTTAATTTCCTAAGTCAAATACAGAATAAACTAAGCTTAAAGGATGCTTTCTTTATTTATAAAAGCATATGATAGTACAATGCTAATATCATCAACTTGGCAGGGTCTAGAATCACCTAGGAGACAAATCTCTGGGCATGTCTGTGCTGGAGTTTCCAGACTGGATTAATTGAGGTGGGAAGACCCACACCCACCCTAAATGTAGGTGGGAGCCTTCTACAGACTGGGGTCCTATACTAAAGAAAAGCAAAGTGAGCAGTGCACCAGCATTTATCTCCTTGTTTCCTGAGTGTAAACTCAAGGTAACCAGCTGTGCTAAGTTCCTTTCACCATGTCTTCCCCACCATGTTGGACTATACCTGCAAACTGGGAGCCAAAATAAACCTTCCTTTCTTAGGCTGCTTTTGTCAGGCATTTTGTTATAGCAACAGGAAAGTAACTAATACATCCCTGTTTTAGGACAAATTCAGTATCTGCATCATTGTTTAAATGCAGAATGAAGGCTGTGAAACAGGTATGCAGATTTCAGTTTGAAACTATGGATGGAGTTTCAGGTGGCGTTGCCAAGTACATGCAGTTGTGTTTTCAGTAAGTTATCCCTATAGTTGAGTTTTGTAAACCCCAAGCTCCATAGAATTCATATAGCATAAGAGGCAAAGGTTGAAAAAAGACTTGAGCTCATGAATTTGGATCTAGCAGTTAATTACTATCTCTGTAACTGTTAGCAAGTTAATTGATTTCTCTGAGTCTCTTGTGTAAGACAGAGAAAACTACAATATTTTAAAGGTTACTATTAGGACTAAACAAAATAATGCATATACAATGCTTGTCACAGTAGCAACTTAGTAACAGATATGTCAAGTCTACAGCCATTACCTTTATTGCTGAAATCATCAATTAACACTATTTCTGCTAAATACTTCCTTGGCGTCCGTTTGATGACACTGTGGACTGTCCTCATGAGGGTTGACCATCCTTCATTATGGAAGACAATAACTATGCTTGAGGTGAGCAGGTTTTCATCATAATGCCAATACTTGCACCTGCAAAAAAAAAAAAAATTCATCATATTTGTTTAGAGGCAATCCATAATGCTTTCCTCCAAAGTCACTACAATTGTGTTTTCTGATTGGATTATCACTGACTTCACCAAAGAGAAACAATGAAATACCGCCTTGCCTCTCAGATTTCAGCACAAACACAAGATGAAAGAGAAGCAGCCATTCATCAAGTCCTCCTAGATAAAGCTCCTTGGTAGTCAGCACATTGTGTGATAAAAGAACTAATTTATGAATTAATGTGGAGGATAACAAACATATTATTTAAAGCTACCAGGATGTTATTGGCTTTTGTGGCATAGATATTCCTTTATTTTCCTTTGGGAAACTTGAGCTTTAAGTGAATACTTCTAATTGGCAGTGAAAACATTAAAAAAAATAAATTAATGGCCAGGCATGGTGGCATATGCCTTTATTCCCAGCACTCCGAAGGCAGAGCAGGCAGATCCCTGTGAGTTCCAGGCCATCCCAGTCTACATAGTGAGTTCTAGGCCAGCTGTGGCTACAGAGAGACCCTGTCTCAAAAAGACAGGAAAAAAAAAAAAATTAAACAGGCCAACCAGGGACATATAGGAGGCTATGCAAAATCTACTAGTGAATGAATACAGTCCTGATACTGTTTAGAGCTATGCTGCAAAAGAGTATCTGAAACAATGGCAGCAGGAACACAGCTGTTGGAAAGCTTTTTCCTACATGAGGGATCTCAGAACAGGGAGTGAAGCAGACTAGAACCAGGCAAGTCTTTGTGGGCATGTTCTGAAAAGGGAGAATACCAAGTTAGGAGGAGCTAAATGCTCTTTCAGAGAAGTACGCTCAAAACATGTAAGTGGGAAAATACAAATTTTGGGTCTGTGAGATGGCTCAGCGAGTAAGGGTATCTGTCAAGCAAGCCTGGAAAGCTGACGATTCCTGGACCCCACATAAAGGTGCAAAAACAGAACTTACTCCACAAAGTTGTCCTCTCCTCTACACACACACACACACACACACACACACACACACACACACACACACAAATGATCAGTAAAATTTCTAATAATACCAACATCATAAGTTATAATGAGTGTTTCAGGAGAGGAGCTAATATACGAAGAGCAACACAAATCTAATTTCAAACAGGTAGGGGTACTAATTTCCCCAAACAAACTGTGACCCATACAGACAGAGACCTAGGCAACATATTCTTCCCCTAAGTTCAATGCCCCAGGACTAGCTTTGGAGAACTGTAATTTTGATTTCCAACATACACTAGAATTGGTGAAAACATTTAAAACTTGAAAGGATATTTGGGACTTGATGTCTTCAAGGCAGGAGATGGCACTTGGGGAAACAGAAAGATGGGAATTTAGGAGTGGGAGATGGGAAGGAGTTGGGAACATCAAGACTGAAAGAGGGAAAGGAGAGGCAGGGTCACCTAAGGCCACCTTCCCCGTCCTGGGCAACTCCATGGAGATCACCTGAGGACAAGGGGAAAGAGCGCTGAAAGGAGTGTGCTGTTCACTCTATCCATCTCCTGTTACCGATTACAGTTTGAAAGATTACAGTTTGAAATACTAATTCTAAAACCGCAATCTAGACTGCACAATTCTGGTTATACTTTTCTATTCTTTTGATAGTCTTTGTTTTAAAAACTATAAAAGTAATGCACAACTTATGAAGTAAGCAATATAGAAGGGGTTTTTGGTCTTATTACATTTTATTTAGTTATTGTGCATGCATGGGCACGAATGCGTGCGTGTATGCACGTGTGTGTGTGTGTGTATGTGTATGCACATGTGCATGCCACTCTGTACACGTCAAAGTGAAAGGACAGCTTTTTCTCTCCTTCCACCATGTAGGTCCTGGGAACCGAACTCAGGTTATCAAGCTTGGCAGCAAGTGCCTACAGTCACCGAGCCATCTTGCCAGCTCTGAAACTATATGGAGGTTTAAAAGCCAAGGTAAAAATTGCCTTTTCTTCTCTCTCTAAGTATGTCAAATCTCACTTTCTAGAAGAATACTGTTAATGCATAGCTATATGTTTTTAGTCTATGTTCACGCAGCCATATGCCTGTGTGTATATGCAAAGGGGGCTGGAGAGATGGCTCAGTAGGTAAGAGTGCTTGCTGAGTAAGCACCAGGATCAGAGTTTTGATCCTAGAACCCATTAAAAAGCTGGGTGTGATTGAACATGTGCTCATAACCCCAGCATGGTGGGGAACAGAGACAAGAGGATTTGTTGGGGCTTCCTAGCCACCAGCCTAGCTTCAGGTTTAGTGAGAGACTCTTTAGCAGGGAATAAGCTGAAGAGCAACAGGGCAGGACATCTGATGTAAATGACACATGCATGCACACACGCACACACACATGCATGTGGACCACACATACTATACTCAAATGAATAAATATAGATTCTTCTATATGAGCAGGAATAGACAGAGCTAATAGCTTTAAACTATTTTATAATACTCCATAGTATGTACTATTCCATAATTATTTTAATAACGTCCTTGTTGATGGACATTTCAGTTTGTTCTACAAATAACATTACAGTGACCATCCACATGTACATACCTCTGTATCCTTGTATAAGAATCTTATCTACAAGGTGCTCAGGACTGTAAGTTCATTAAGGGCCGGAACCGCATCTATTTTGTTCAGTGCCATTTTCGCAGCAGCTAACATACAACAGCTGTTCTGTGACTGGGGATGATATTTTTGAAAGCCACTTGATGTCTTTTTTTTCTTTAGTAATGTCCACTCTCTACCTCATAATCTTATTCTGAGGGGCCCTTGAGAAGTAGTAAGTCCAGATGGTTCTATATTCTGTGGAAGAGGGGTCATTCCTTTACCATGGAAAAAGGAAGTAGAAAGGTCTCCTAGTAGGGAGAGGTAGAAAATTCTGGAAGAAACAAGAGGACAGAATGTAACCAAAGCAGATGAAGAGCCAAGTGTGGTGACTTGTGCCTGTAAGTAATCCCAGCACTTGGTCTGTGGAGTCAGAAAGATCAGTTCAAGCCCACCTTTGGTTACATATGAGTTCTAGGCCAGGCTGAGCTACTGAGAGAGCTGCTAATTTCTCAGTAGCTGATGAAGAGTTCAATGAACCCAAGGAGACAGAGCCAGAAGGAGGCAGCAGAGATGAGGTGGAAGCAGGCCAGAATCACCTGCAATACCTTAGGATGCATGACTTTTTTTGCCAGTGGAGGCTAGAGGGGAAAGGAAGAGAGTAGAGACCTCTGGAGTCCAGAACTGCTCTAGAGAGGGAGTGTGGGCCTTGGGCTGAGTAGATGGCCCAGTTAGAGTTGTAGGGCAACATGGACCAAATTCCTTTTCATTACAAGCTTCCATCTGCCATGAACAGTCTGAATGAATGCAGGTTCTTGAAAAAACTTAGCTCTTTGGCAGCTTTTCTGGTTTGTTCCTGTGAGAAGAGCCATTGCATTCAATGCCTTTATATGGAGACTAGGTAAAGAAAAATATCCTGGGCTGACAAGATGGCTCAGCAGGTAAAGGTGCCTGTCACCGTTTGACATGCTTGATGACCTGAGTTTGATCCCCGCACCCACATGATAGAAGGAAAGAACGGATTCCTTCAAGTTGACCTCTAATCTCCACACATGCTAAATAAATAAATGTGTAAAGAAAGAAAGAAAGAAAGAAAGAAAGAAGGAAAGAAAAAAAGAAAGGTCAGTCCATGATATTGAAGTAAAATCCCTATTTTGCATCATGGTGCAAATTTTTAATACTGTAGTCTCCCTTTATCTGAAATTTTGCTTTCTGAGTTCTAGTTACTTATGGTCACAACATGATTCAGTAATAGAGTACTATACAGTAAGATATTGGGGGAGCTGTACTGTCAAACTTTTATTATTGTATAATTGTTATATTGTATATTGTTTTAATTATATTTTACTAAGTTAATTCTGTTAATTGTTTATGATGTTTAAGCCATAAACCACATTTTGCCATAGGAATATATGTATAAGAAAATACATAGTATAAATACACACAGGGTTTGGCACTCTGAGCTTTCAAGAATCCACTTATCAGCCTTGACTGTATCCTCTGTGTATAACCCAGTTAGTTGTAATGTGAAAGATGCCCAGTGGCAATGAGAAGCCACGTTTAAGCAGATGGGTTTTGTTACATGTTTCTGACTCATTTCTGTTCTCCAGCATCTCAAATTTTCAAGAGAGCTTTTCAGTCTTCTAGCATCAAGGACAATAGTCGTTCAGCTACACTGGAGAACTGCTCTGATCACAAATATTCACATTCCTATTAGAAGCATGCAAGATGGACTGGTCCTTCATGTGATTTTACTGAATATTTTCAATTTGTGAGCTAAGTGCTTGATCAGAAGAAAAGACAAAAAGCATTTGTGTGTAGTGGGGTGTATGCACGTGTACATGTAAGTACATGTGAATTCCTTTGAGATAGGGTCTCTCACTGAGACTGGAGCTATGTTGGTGACTAGCATGCCCCATATAACGTGGGGTTATAAGCATGTGTGGACAATGTCTGGCTTTAAAAAATATATATATGGGTGCTGGGGACTCAAATTCATGCTCTGATGCTTCTACATCAAGTGTTCTTACCCAGTCAGCCATTTCTCCAGCCTCCCAAAAGCATTTTTACAGTGACATTTTCATAATTTACAAAAGTAGATTTCAAAACCAAAAATGAAATGTGTATGACAGTTTACTTAAACTATCCCTATATAAGCTGTATTTCTAATACTTGTACTTATAAAACCTTGTTGTGGGGGCTAGAGAGATGGCTCAGCAGTTAAGAGCATTTGATGCTCTTCTAAAGAACTCAAGTTCAGTTCCCAGCACCTATGTGGAATGGCTCAGAACCACCTATAACTCTAGCTCTAAAAGATCTGTCACCCTCTTCTGGCCTCCACAAACACTGGCACACATGTGTTATACATGCACACGTGCATGCACAGACACACAAATTTAAAAAAATTAGTTTCAAAGAATTTTAACTAATTTCACTTT